ATTTTCATGTATTCGTACTCTGAACTGGGAGTTTTAATAAAACACCAGCTGTTAGACAGTTGTCGGTAAGCATTGGACAACTGACACGATGATAATATTTTTCTGTATATATATTTTTATAAGGATACCTATTTCTATTCGTCATCATCATCATCTCCCTGGCTTTATTGATTATCCAGATTGGCGTAGGTTTAGACACAAGGATTAAACCCTTAAACTTTTGGCTTCATTTTTACGACATACCAATAGCCTGTCACCTAAGTACTTTATATGTATGTAATATTTTTCGTAAAGAAACGAATTGTTTAAAACGTGCCTGGAAAGTAATAGTGGTATAGAAAAATTAAAATCCGCTAAGGCCCCGCTAATTGTAATTACCGGTGTTTAACGTTACGGTTGCAAGCTCGCCATTTAGCGCAGCATACTACGTGAACACAATTTAAATTTCTTGTCATTCTTTTTTTGCATTTACATTTTCGATGACTACAAATAGCCATGCCCATAGAACTAGCCCATATAGCCTAGTTGAATTAAAATAAAAAAAAATATTTACTTATTTCACTGCATGACAATATCCTTTATTGCTTACGGATTTAATTTGGAATGATTAAAACCATTAAGAGGTGAAAGAGTTAAGTCAAGTTAGTTGTAATTCCTCATTTACATTGAAATCGACAAGTCATTTTTCTTAAATTATTCTAATACGATTTCCTTTAGTAATGTTGATATGTTATAGTAATATATAACTTACTATAAATTAACGTAGATTTAAACTTATTAAATTCATTTTATAAATAAGAAGTAAGATTTAGATGTCTTTAAATAAACGCAATAAGTGATATAGGAATATTATTTTCATATTTTACTTTTATCCTAACGTAAAATAAAAAGAAAAACACCAAACGCTTCATGTATCGGGAGTAGTAATTTGATCTAACTTGAACAGAAGCAATTTTAGTTACACAGTTTGCTTGCAAGCGAACTTTTTCTGATAAAAGTTTGCGAATAAAAATCGCAATCAGTATTACATTTTATTTGCGCAAAAGTAACGTGACAAGTTAGTAATCAAGGGCTGAATGAGAACTCATTTAACGCGTACGCTGAGAGCTAAGAGATGGATTGTTACTGCATGATGAATGTGAGTATTATGATACTATTATTATGTCGACAATATTATTAGATAAATATTATTTTGATAAAAATAATATTTATAATACCAAATTACACACTTACTATTGTTCAATGATCACTCAGTTTGTTCCTTACAGTCACAAAATGGACATTTTGACAACTGCTTAGAATGAATTTTATTCTCGAACTCTAAGCGGCTCCCTTAGTAAACACTTAAATATTCTGAGTGCCGCAGTAAAGAACTCCTTCTATACTCGTTACATAATTCTAACTGTGGTATTGAAATTAGAAGAAAAATAATAACGTTTTATACTAACATTTTTGTTCAGAATAAGTATAGATGTATGACTAATAGCTATTTTCTGAGACCAAAAGCCATTTACATAATATCCTCATCCCTTTCATGCTCTTTGAAAAAAACAGAGATAACTATATTTTATACAGGTTTGGCCGCAGAAACCAACAATAAGAAGCGTGTTTCGATACAGTCAATTTCACGTCCGTAAATATATTTTGATAGGTCACGTACTAAGTTGTTACGTGTTTATCAAGGTACTAGTAACCTTTACAAATTGAGAATATTCTAACAATTTGTGCAACAGTGCAATTTAAAACTAACAAACTGGCCGTATATCATATATATAACACAATATTGCATTTATAACGATAATTTTGTTACGATGGTGCCAGTTGTAAAACTGCCAACAGTAATGAAATAACGGCTCAACACGTAACGCGCGTGCTCCGCTATACCAAACTAAATAGAATTTGATAATGATGAAGAGTTCAATAAAGTTAGAATTTGTAACAATCTGAAAACAAAACAAAAATGTTGGAAAATCCAGCAACAAAATGAAATCAACAACAAACTCTTGATTCCTAAACAAATAAACGTTGAATTTAAATCGTGTAATCGGTTAAGCATTAAGAATGTTAAAGTAGAAAGTTTCCAATGTTAAAAATGTTTGGCAAAAGCTCACGTACCAATGTTATTATTATAGAACAATGTTTTAAGAATATTTATTTATTTATTATTTATTTATTTATTATATATAATTATTTAATATTGTCATAATATTACAATTACGTAATTTCACACAGTTGATACTATGACAGAGTCCAACGCTTAAACTGTCTGTTTGATTGTATAAGTGTATATGTACATTTTTAATATGAACGAATAAAAAATACGTAATCGGACGACACGACAGACCGCCAGGTTCCATCCACACCTCCTGGATGGCTGGGGTTCCACAACGGCGCGATTCTCGCGTAATTTCTTGACTCGCACAGTCGCGCTGTGGAACGGTCTGTCCTCGGCGGTATTTCCAAACCAATACGACTTAGGGACCTTCAAGAAGCGAGCATACCATTTCCTTAAAGGCCGGCAACGCATCTACAGCTCCTCTGGTGTTGCAGGTGTCCATGGGTGTCGTTGATCACCTCGGTGTTCCCGCCGCTCGTTTGCCCCCTTCTCTTATAAAAAAAAAACGGACATGTTCCAAATATTTTCAGTTGGTATATCCGAATATTTTACTTGAACGTGTAAAGTTTGGTAGAAATGTATTTTATCATAAATTTTTCAATAATAGATATGTCGACCTCTAAAATAATGATCTTGAGCTTTTATGTAAACATCTAGCTGTCGCTTGCGACTCCTTCCATTTCATGGAGATCCATGCAGCCGTTATGGAGATACCTTCTAACCAAACATCAATCCATCTGCATATCCAAACGTTAGCATTTATAATATTAGTAAGATAAGCCAAAAAGAACAGTCACAACGTAAGACGACGTTACGTTTAAAAAAAAAACAAACATAAAAGTTCATTACAGTTATACTTGAATAAACAAGTAATATAATTTTTTTCATATTACAGTTACCATTGAGAACATAAAAAGGTGTTTACTTTCTGTTTGTAATGCACGGATAAAAGCGACATTAGCTCTGTGTGGAACATTATACAGACATTGCATAAGCATCAGCGTAAAAAACGTAATATTCTTTTAACCGGAATTAAATATCGTAGTGTGTAAGTAGTGTAGGGAATAAACGGATGGGACCATTTATAAAATGTGAACAACATACAACGCATTAGCAAGATTAAAACTTGTAAAAGCAAAAGGAGTTACTTTCGTTGAGTCAGCAGTCGTAATAGAGCAGCGGTTGTAGACTTCCCTCAGATACGAGGCACGCCAATGGAGTGCGCACGATAAAACTAAAATGATTGTCCTTCGTAAGCCTATTTTATAAGGAAACGTTAGTTTGGATTACGTATCTATTATTCAACTGTACCATAGAAATCGCAATAAGGCAGATTCACTACATTCTTAAAAGAAGAAGTAACGTTTTTAATCAAATATTTTTTAAAGTTCTCTTGTGTATTATATCTTCAGGTAATATTTATGCATATCGCTACAAATAAGTTTTTATTTTTATATACAACACTAAACAGTCAACCATAATATTATATTAGCTTGAATTAATGTATTAAAAGATTAATTATATGGTATATCATTAAAACATGCAGCATTAATTAAGACATTCTAAGCTGCTCGTTTTAACCTAGTTACTAATTCACGTACAACGTCGGGGCATTCGAAATAGTAGTTAGTCTAGGAACATCAAAGGACGTTTTAGATGCTATTGACAGGGTAAGAGAAAATCAGAGACTTGCTGACAGTATTTCATTTGAATTTGTATCCACTAGTGAATTTAGTCTATGAATATGTGGAAGGTAAATCTAAAAGTAATGAACGTGCATTCCAATATAGCTTTACCGCTTATTCATATAAATTATCAGGTGAATCTCAATTAGTGAAATGTATATTGTTTCGACCATATATTATACGTCTACATAAGTTCTATAACAACATAGTTGATTGATCGAAATGTTAACTACACGCGTGCATATATTATTTAAATATTTGTGTATACTGTTAGGAAAAAATCTGACACTGTGTCGGTGTTGACTCAACACTAGCCTTGTTAAAATATCAACGTTTATGTCCCCACACTAATAAATCTGACACTTGGTAACGAAAGCACGCCATTCGCGCCAAAGGATTCTAACTAATAATGTCTAAAAATACATACAACTTTTATAATAAGTATAACGTACTTTTAATAAAGTTAACGCTATTATCAAGTTATAATGTGTCGCCATTTGTTTTGACACCAAATCTCATGTGAAACATATGATCATCCCTGTCGTTCATCTTTGACAAAACAGAGATAACAATATGTTTCAAACGGCGACTTGATATTTAACAACATGCTTTTGTTTGATGCATATATAACGTTCGAAAAAATTGTTGACAAATTTGACGAAAACAAGACAATTTGATCGTATATCGTGTATTAATTTAAAAAAAATAAGTTTTTGTAAACTACTTTTAAGAAAATATCACATTTTGTATACGCAATATAATGTAATTGATTATTTAAGCGATTATCTTATCCGCTTCAGTTAACTCGTAACAATAGCATCCTATATAATACTCCTTGATCTTTTATTTCTTATGCCCCCATATCTTATCTAGATTAATTATTTTCTTGCACGACAAGATTCTTCATTCCTTTTATCGTGTTATTTATCTAAGCATTATTATTCAATCTATTATATGTATGGTTGTTTTATTTCTTTTCAACATTTGTAACTCAAAATCTTTACATTTTGTCAAAGCTTTTGTTATAATGAAATATAACATACGACATAAATTCATATAATATTTGAAAATTTATATCCTGTTTAACTGTCCTCTGATACGATTCTTTACCTTCCTTCAATTTATCAATCACAACTATACTGTTGGTTAGTTTGTAGATAAAGTTCCATTAAATATTCTTAGTACATGATAAGACTCACCTATGATAAGCCGAAGCAGGCTGGCGGCGAGCAGGCCCAGGTCTGGAGAGTTAGCCATGGGTCACACTCCCACGTGCCTCACCGACATCACTAGCCATTACAGTACAACACTATCACCTCACAATAACGCAAAATAATTCGATTTAATCTAACAAGTTCACAGTTCAAGCAATCGATTTTTTTATTTTTCACAGGTAAATTTATTTTGAATTTATAACGTCGATGTCACATCTGATTAAGATAAAATATCAATTATCATTCACAGGTGAAATTACATATATTTGGATTTATACAATGGAGACTGGAGACCAACAGAGCTGTACAATAACTCATTCCGAATCGGTATAACTTTTTTAATTTACGCCTCGCAATATATGCAGGCTTTGGACGTGATTTATACGAGATAATGCTTATAATTTTCGCGAGAGAATAAGAGAAAAAAAAGTAAATTCCGAATAAGAACCATTAAACTTCAATTACATCTCCCTAAAATACGTCTCTCCGCAACCAGATAAATGTATACTTTTCTAGTTCCGAATGAAATATACGGCTTTAATAAAACCATACTTAATTTATTCTCTAATAAATTACACTTTCAATTCTTTGAAATACTAATTAGTGCTTTAAATCAAAAAATTAAGTTATTTTTTTTCGTAAAAATCCTTCCATAAAGATTGCGACATAGACAAAAAGTTTTATTCGAACAGAGGAACAGACGATTTAGTTTTTATATAGACGATCTAAATGCATTTGTCTAAGCTATAAATCAGCTGAACTTTTGTCCGCGGCCGGGTCAGACATCGCCCGGGCGATCTTGCCAACGACGGCTTGTGATAATAATATTACTCATTATTTGGAACTATCCAAAAATTATTTTTAATCTTGTAATTTCTTCTACGGTTTAAAAATAATCATTAACCGTGGGTTTCTGATGTCAAAATCTCTATTTAAAACGTATTGTTATCTCTGTATGTTGTAATCAGATGGCGATATGTTTAATACAGAGATTTTGGTATCAGAAACCCAAGGTAAATATTAATATTGAGAATTTCCATCGTATGTTCAAAGAGGGAAGATGAAAGTATGTTGATGCTAAAATACAAAGAGGAAGATTAAAACATTTAAAATAGCTTTGTCTTCAAGGCAATATTATAGTAAATACCGAAGATAACATTCAAGTGTTCTTAGTTGTATGGAATCTAATAATAAAAAAGAGTAGTATGTCGAATAATAGACAAAAATCGATTCATCTTATGCTATATCTTCTATAATAATATATTGTTTATTCGTTGAAATACATTAAATATTTAACTGTTATTAACAAAAGGTAAAAAGACAAATATTTTTATGTACGGAAACCGTATAGTAAATTTTTTAATATGCAACATAATCACTCGACCGACTTTATGCCCCGTGTGATACGATTGACTGACACATTTGAAAATTAATAAGGTCGATGAAACGGGTATTACGAGCCACTTAACCTGATTTAATAAAAAAAATCATGAGTGTTTTATACAAGTTCAATTTAATACAACGAACATAGCAACCAGTTAAATTTATTAAAGGATTTATACAAGACAGGAAGTGATAACAGTTTTGATACTTCCTAAAACAACAGTGGGGTACCCAAATGCATTTCCCAAGTCAAAAGGCTCCGTGCATGTAAGGCATGGGTTTAACGTGAAATCAATCTCATTAAGTTATGACCTCATTAAAAATCATGGATTTTCTCGAAAATTATCTGACAATCTTACTAATATTATAAATGTGAAACTTTAAATGGATGGATGTTAAAAGGGATATCTAAAACGGCTTAACGGATCTTGAATAATTTTGACACCGGTATAAAACATGGTCAAGAATAATACATAGGCTGCTTATCAGGATTTTTTAAAATTCTACGCGGACGGGCGATAGTATGTAAATTTAATATAGCTGAAAACTATTAATGTATTATATAAAATTACTGAAGTTAAAAGTTAAAGGCCTTTCATCGTAGGGAAAGATAAAGATCCCTTTACCCGTGACCTCGAGTTAAGTAAGAAAAATACGACGTCTCCATTGGGTCCAGAGGAAATTAGTGGCAACGAAGGCCCAGCCGGTATGGTTATCAGTTAGTTAAAATGCAAATTGTTGTGTTTTGTTTGCGCAAGCCTGTAGTCGGCAAACAACCTTGTCCGGACAGCAAAAATGCTAAACACACATTTGTAAGCGAGTCTGACATATCCCTCACGTCGTTAGCATATTCGCAAATGATGCCAGATGCTCCACAAGTTTATGACGTTATTTTAAGCCCTCCGTACTCATCAAACCCTACATCGAACTCTATTTCACGTCTTTTATTATTTCAGCAAATGTAAAACATGTGAAATGGAATATTTCCGACGTATTTAGGGAAATAACAACCACATAATTTAGGAAATACTTTATCCATAAAAGCTACTGAAAGTAACTTTAAAAATTCCTCTAAGTTTGGTTTATAGTATTGTCGTACAAAAACTGATATAAATATTCAACAGTTAATAAGCATTTTTTAAAATTTTTCAACTGTTACGAATATAGCGTATTTTTAGTTCTTTGTAGACTTTTAATTACATATTAATTTCTTAGGAATTGAAATTGAATTGCGAGCGTCCTAGTTTCGTTATTCGTTTCGTCGAGTTTTTGTATCTAGAGCCAAAAACTTCCCTTCCCATCCTTTTCTTTATAAGGAAAGGATGGGAAGTGGAAGTAGACTTTCCGAATGAGAGGATGCATGGAAAGGGAAAATATTTTCTTTCTGTGCATACTCTCCTCCGTCGATTAAAGGTAGGCAACGAATATGCAATTGCGTATGTCTATGGGCAACGGTCACTTCGCTATTTCAGCGATTTCAGGTGGCCGCTCGCTCGTTTGCCACCTTTTGATATAAAAAAAAACCTATAATACCCTAATTAAAGTTTGATCAAACAAAGCATTCAAAAACAAACGAAGCATATATAATTTATATAACATACTACGAAGTAATTAATCGGCTTTCGCAGAACGAATGCTCGTAAATACGTGAGACTAAATTTCGGCACACATCTATACAACTACAGATTAGAAAAGTTTATGTGGGTCTAGGCCGGCTGTCACACGATACGTAGTTAATCAAAGGCCGTCTATACACAAGTAAATATACTACATAAACGCACTGAATTTAAGGGACAGTCAGAAAATCAAACTATAGTTTATATTTTTGACATTATTATCTTATTTTTAAATGTACGTGAAGATGATATTTAAAAAAGGAAATCACCGTGGATGTGTGTCTTTAGTATATTTGTAAAGCCGGCTTTAAAAAATGTAAAAGAAAATAAAATGCTAGAAAGAACATTATCTTATACCATAAATCAATACAAAACATTTAAAATTAAATATAAAAATGATTAAATAGCAGTCCCTTTGTGAAAAAAATGTAATAAAAGAGAAACACAAATCTTTTATATTGCTTAAAATTTAGTGAACCTTAACAGGTCGAGTTTAACATTAAGACTCTCCACGCACACAGGCGGCGGAGAATTTTATTGAAGCACTTTCAAAGCCGTATTCAATGGGAACTCTTAAATCAGTTCCTTCTACATCTGTACGCAACCCTACAAAATAATATATACCGAAAGTTCGTGAACAAAATACAAATAGGCTGGGGTCGTCTGAAGTGGCGCAGCGTGAAAGGCAGCCTGACAAAGCGCGGGTCGCGTGTCGCTTGCCTTAATATTATACTGGCGTTTTTTAAGTTAAAGTCAACCATTACGTAGCCCTCGAGTCCATTTTATTTCCTAACAGTACCAATGGATAAATAAGTTCAATAAAACATAGATTAATGGTTAAATCTCTGATAAAATATATACACAGATGCAAACTGTTAAATTAATCTCCATGCAAATATTTATATTAAATCAATTTAGTTTTGAGGTAATTAGACTTTGTGGGAAAACTACTGAAGTGTAAACAACCTACTCAATTAAGTTGTAAGCGCCATGTAAAATGAGATAAAAACGTTAATTATGTATTATAATTAACTAATGTGTTGGATAAATGTATATTCGTGACAATCTAGATAACAAACTAGAAACTTCGTATTCAAGGAAGATTTAGATAAACTTTAAATTGCAGAAGATAGCAGTGGAATAAATCAGTGCTTAAAAAGTCTTTAAAAGGGGTGTGTCTCGCCGTGATTTGTGTAGCCGAACGTGGCGCCGGGACCACGCCGCTCTCCTGCGCCTGTATTGTTAAGATAATAATTTGTTACGCCATTTATTTTAATAAGTTAACGAAAAAAAAGTGAACAAATCAATACAACCTACACTACTCCATTCAGCAGTAAAGACCAACATGACGTCAAAACTTAAAAAGTCATATATTAAAAACATCCCCTCTAGTAAGTTGGATAAAAACAAGATAAATACTCTAACCTCTAGCATATAAATAATGGTACAGAATGATCTTTAGTGTAAAGTGTGCGCAACAGCTTTCCTATTTCGGTTGAATGGATATAGGTCAGGAGTGGATTACAAGAATGCGCTTTTCACGTCTCTCGGCTTAAATGTTTTAGAATATGCAAAAGTTCTACATGCTATAGAAATGATAGTAGATTATAATTAAAAATTAATATTAAACCATCATTCGTATGAGAGGGAATTTCAAGAGGAAAGCTAAAGTATATCGAACTTTGGCACACTTTTGGTTGTTTGGTTAAACAAAATATTTAAGTGTAGTACTCATGAAAACATTTGTCATGCAAATTACATCTATGGAATTTTAAGTGGTTTTCAAAAATCTGAACATACATTTTCATAATCAAACTAGCTGCTATATCTAGTTTGACAATAACTTTCCGCGACTGCGTCCGAGCAAAATTTTAAAAAAAAATTAAAAATTACATATTATTTTTCCTGTATTATTTTTTAATTACTGAGAAATTGACTGATATTACTTATCGATTTTGACGAGATTAAATAAATATATCGATGCAAACTAATGAGGTCTATGTTTAGAATTTAGGCAGAGACAATTCCAAGATATTTGTGAAGT